TAAAAAATTTACAATGATCAAATTTTTTCAAAATACCTGGTAGATTTTCTACGGACCTTCTCTGTAAAAAATCCCTGTCGATTTTCACAAACGAGCGACTAGTCGTTCGTCGGCGCCCCTCTGGGGCGTCGCTCGCGGCTAGTCGCTCGCACTATCAAGTGCAAAAGCACCAGAGCAAAATACTTGATAAGTTGAGGACTGGATATTGAAAACAACGCATGCAAGTATACATGTAAGAGTATAAACTGATTGTATTTCATATGATCTTGCCTTCGGTCGAGGAAATAAGAAAAATGTCTGGTGACCTTATTACTGTATCTTACCATCCCATCTATGCAATGTTCCTTAAAGAACTGATCGTTTACTATTGTTTGTCAATACTCTATTTTGCGATCGTTTTGGACATACTATTGGAAGAGCTTTATTTATCTGAACTACCATGAAACATCTGAATGGCCAAACTTTTGGCCTGAAAATATCTTTGATAGAAAGTTCGACATCGAGAAGTCCTAATTGACTGACTTTCCAGCATGGCTAGGTCTACCTATTCCCAATTATCTCTAGCTACCCTTAACTAGCTATAATTAGCTTTAACCAGACTTGACTAGCTTTAATGAGACTTGACTGTTATTAACTAGACTTAACCAACCATAGTTATTCTTGATTTGGGTGAACTACGTTTCTTCTCGGCTCATTCCGAACTCCGGACATATGTCCGGGTGTTTGGAGTTGAATTTTTGTTCCCATATTTTGATCACAGTAGCCCGTAAACAACTATGCACAGCAGATCGTAATAGAGAAGCAGAGAAATCGTAATGATTTTTCTGGATGTTCGGAATAGAATGCTCCTTGCTATATCTGATGTCAAGCCGGAGATCGTAATGAACAGGGTCACATGTTCCAAATATATGCTTGGAGTGCTTTTTACAAAAAGCCAAAAGAATGGGAAGTCCTTAACAAAGAGTTTGGGAAAGAATTTACTAAGAGATCGTGATGGATATTAAGACTTTTATTTCTGTTTTTATACATAAGAATGACTGTAAAATAAGCATGTCACTTCGTATTCTCTGGAAAATCAGTAACTTCAAATTCTTCCGAACTTCTTGTCTTATTCATTTCAAACATCCTGCACCTTTCGTTACGCCCTTTATTTATTTGTTATTACGAATTTCCAAGCATTCTCATTCCGATCTCCAGTCAAGATTTCGCTTTTTAACCACTAACTGGCAGTTGTCAGGGTTCGTTACGACCTCCTGAACAGATTTCATTCCGAATATCCTGTGTTTTCTTATATTTCATTGACTTCTGTCATTAGAAAAAGCATTCCGAAATCCTATCTTTTTTCTTGCGCCCGGAGACCGTAGCGGTCTACTTCAACCGGAGTTCGTAATGGAAAACCAAGACGAAACGTAACGTTCTCCTTGATTTCAGCTAAGTTACTTTAGCTTGACCTTTCACTCTGAGGAAACACACACACAAAATTACTCTTTCCATATAACCCTCCCTTCAGTCAAGAAAACGAGAATGAGACATTTAGCATCAACTTTTCATTACGATTTCTGGTACAATATGTTCGTTACGATCTCCTGATATAAGAAAAATGATATAGTGTTCGGAAAAAATTCACTAATTACTGACGCGACATAATAAGTGACTGCTGTGGTTTATCATAGTTCTCTTGCACCTAAAGCTTCGTTGCAAACATATCTATCAATATGGAGTAATAACATTAAAAAATTTACAATGATCAAATTTTTTCAAAATACCTGGTAGATTTTCTACGGACCTTCTCTGTAAAAAATCCCTGTCGATTTTCACAAACGAGCGACTAGTCGTTCGTCGGCGCCCCTCTGGGGCGTCGCTCGCGGCTAGTCGCTCGCACTATCAAGTGCAAAAGCACCAGAGCAAAATACTTGATAAGTTGAGGACTGGATATTGAAAACAACGCATGCAAGTATACATGTAAGAGTATAAACTGATTGTATTTCATATGATCTTGCCTTCGGTCGAGGAAATAAGAAAAATGTCTGGTGACCTTATTACTGTATCTTACCATCCCATCTATGCAATGTTCCTTAAAGAACTGATCGTTTACTATTGTTTGTCAATACTCTATTTTGCGATCGTTTTGGACATACTATTGGAAGAGCTTTATTTATCTGAACTACCATGAAACATCTGAATGGCCAAACTTTTGGCCTGAAAATATCTTTGATAGAAAGTTCGACATCGAGAAGTCCTAATTGACTGACTTTCCAGCATGGCTAGGTCTACCTATTCCCAATTATCTCTAGCTACCCTTAACTAGCTATAATTAGCTTTAACCAGACTTGACTAGCTTTAATGAGACTTGACTGTTATTAACTAGACTTAACCAACCATAGTTATTCTTGATTTGGGTGAACTACGTTTCTTCTCGGCTCATTCCGAACTCCGGACATATGTCCGGGTGTTTGGAGTTGAATTTTTGTTCCCATATTTTGATCACAGTAGCCCGTAAACAACTATGCACAGCAGATCGTAATAGAGAAGCAGAGAAATCGTAATGATTTTTCTGGATGTTCGGAATAGAATGCTCCTTGCTATATCTGATGTCAAGCCGGAGATCGTAATGAACAGGGTCACATGTTCCAAATATATGCTTGGAGTGCTTTTTACAAAAAGCCAAAAGAATGGGAAGTCCTTAACAAAGAGTTTGGGAAAGAATTTACTAAGAGATCGTGATGGATATTAAGACTTTTATTTCTGTTTTTATACATAAGAATGACTGTAAAATAAGCATGTCACTTCGTATTCTCTGGAAAATCAGTAACTTCAAATTCTTCCGAACTTCTTGTCTTATTCATTTCAAACATCCTGCACCTTTCGTTACGCCCTTTATTTATTTGTTATTACGAATTTCCAAGCATTCTCATTCCGATCTCCAGTCAAGATTTCGCTTTTTAACCACTAACTGGCAGTTGTCAGGGTTCGTTACGACCTCCTGAACAGATTTCATTCCGAATATCCTGTGTTTTCTTATATTTCATTGACTTCTGTCATTAGAAAAAGCATTCCGAAATCCTATCTTTTTTCTTGCGCCCGGAGACCGTAGCGGTCTACTTCAACCGGAGTTCGTAATGGAAAACCAAGACGAAACGTAACGTTCTCCTTGATTTCAGCTAAGTTACTTTAGCTTGACCTTTCACTCTGAGGAAACACACACACAAAATTACTCTTTCCATATAACCCTCCCTTCAGTCAAGAAAACGAGAATGAGACATTTAGCATCAACTTTTCATTACGATTTCTGGTACAATATGTTCGTTACGATCTCCTGATATAAGAAAAATGATATAGTGTTCGGAATTAAGCGAACAGAAGTTCGGAATAACAACAAGCAAATAACATCATGTTAGCATTTACAAGTCCTTTACTTAATAGGCCCTGGTTACCTCAAATGTCTAATAAAGAATTATTTTGCCTCAAGAATCGAATCGTTCGACATTTTCTCAAGGTACCTCAACTGTCACTTATTGTACTTACGATAAAACCTTTAAATCAACGTCTAGTCGTTCGTCAGCCCACCCTCCGATCGGCCACTCACGAGTAGCCCTTCCCATATATAGTTTATTTTTCTGTCTATCATCAATCTCATTAGGTTTCTGATGCGCACCAAAAGTAGTTTACTCATAACATATCGATTCACAATCCAAAACTTCCAACATTTAGATAAGTTTGTGTAATTTTTATGATAGGTTTCGATTTCTTTTTTATTTTAACAAAATGATATGGTGCCAGATTCATTCTCGAATCAGCATTAATTAAGTTCTTTCGCAAACCATATAAACCACTCGAGATTCGTTTGAAAACTATGCTTTAAAATAACCTTCTAAATCAACGTCTAGTCGGCCTTCCTCCGGTCGGCCACTTACTACTAGCCGTTTCCATATTTAACGCCACTATATCATTCAATATTAATTCAATTTTGTAGCGAATAGATGCATCTCGTTTGAGTTCTTCTCCAAAATTTACTGGGCATTTATCAATACACTCATTAAGAAGAAACTAAAAAAAGCGAGAACCATATAAAAATTGCTACAAGTAGAACACAGTACATTGTAGCCTAGGAAAGATCTTCGTTTATTTTGAATGTTATTTTACAGTTGATGTCTAGAGAGACTCAAAAACAGCTTCAAACAGTCAGTTCATATTTCTGTATAAATCTTCCCCAAAGATCTGACGTGTCGTAATCAGCAAAGAAAAATGTTTATATTAGAACCAATTTTTAACATGGATTCACGACCCTCGACCATCCTGAAGTCAAGCTTAAAATTACAAGGAGTTCATCATAAAAACCTTAAAAATACACCAGAAAAGTTTTTATTGGCTTCGAATTTGCATTTTCCGTGCTCGATAACAATCACTCCCGTTATATAAGAAACTATGATCTATTAATTTACTATTAGTTAATAATTACTAATATTGAAAAACCAACCTCAGATTTAGATTCTCATAGCCCATTATCTTTGGTAGAGATTTATCCCCATTATTACCCATTATCATTACTTTGCTGATTAACGTTTAAAAAAACGTTTTTCATCGGTGATAGCTGTGAATACATCATTAGTTCTCCCAAACATAGACAAGATGAGCACCAAGAATTGATTCCAAAAATACAAATAAAAGAAAATTTTTGTAATCATAACACGAAAGAAATACTCGATTTAGATGATGAATTGATAAACACTTTGGATTTGAATAATAATGCTGAAATTGATATTTTATCACCCACCTCTACCATTACAGCAAAAATTACCGTCCACATCGTCTCTCGTAAATTCACTATCAAATCGCACATCAAAAACGATTTGTAGTGTAGATGAATTCCTGTCAAAACTCTTCCAAACCTATCTGAGTTAAGTCAACTCTCGGCAGCTATTGCTCATTCAACATGTTCAAGAGTTAGTCAATCGAGTGAAAATACTGAGCATCATTCTAGAAAACAATTACATAGAACAATGAGTGAATTAACACAACCAGATTTACTTGAATTAAATGGTAAAAATAACTTTTTTTCTTATGAGATCCCCGTATACGTCATGAAGTTTTATTTTTTTGCTTCATGTAGATCCATATGATATTGATGCTGAATTAGATCGTCCCGTTGACACAGCAGTCAACGATGGCAAATCCTCACTCTTCACGAATTGTCAACAGTTAGCATTTGATGTTGTACCGCGGCTACTTAGCGATAAATGGTTTAAACAATGGCAAAAACAAAATTTGAAACGATTACCAACGTCAACTTATTCGTCAATCTCTGTTACTTCAAATACTCATTTATATGTTAAATGGAGTAAAACGCAAAACGTTGGCGCGTGGACATGTGCCTTAAAAGACTTTGGTCTTTTAGATCTACCCCTTAATATGTGTATATAATATAAGCGATAGAGAATTTTTAATCGTTTTCTTCTATAAAGCATTCCACTACGCGTTTCGGCCTTGCTTAAGGGCCTTGTCAGGTGGATTATCGAGTTTTTGCTCAAGTCATATTGGCACAAGCAAACAATATGATTTCTTCTCTTACTCGAAGGAGAAATGGTCATCGTCCTTAAGTGCATATTCTTATAGGAGGATCACATTTTTCTCGACGTACAGTATGCACGGGAACTCGTTCAATCACGGCTCGCTCAAAAACGTCAAACGGATGGGAATGATAGTGGGAGCTGTAACCGATGTGAGAGAGAGAGGTTGGAGTGGTAGGAGGGGGAATCTGTCTCCAACGTACGAAGGGGCGCGTGAACATACGGTGTAATCGTGTAGTTATGTGGAGTAATGACGTAAGTAATCAGCGAGCGCTCAACATCATGTGTTACGAATTTTTAGTGTTCTTCCTGCGCATTAAAGAGGAGACAAAAGGGGGAAATACACCTTTGCTAAACAGCGTGCAGTATGCATTAGATCTCGGTAGTTTTCAAATATTACTCTGATTCAGAGAAAATAGCGTTGCCAGCAAGTACAACTTTATCTTGAATTTTTTCGATTTGCACAGCTTTGCGAATCCGATCAGTGTTAGGCTTGAAGCACTCGATCAACAATACAAGCCTGCAAAAGAAGCTGCGAACATGGTATACACACCCAGGTTTGCTCCAACATCAATGAAAGTCATTTGAGGGTATCAAATAAGAAAACCAAATCATAGATGACACCTTTGCCTTTCCCAAATTCATAATGCAGGTCGAGACTATCATGGGCCAATTTCTTATTGAATTCACTTCGATCGAAATGAAGAATATGTTTCGGTCGAATGGATTGAAGTGGCACGTGTTTTTGTTTTATTTCTGTTCCGATGCCGTGCTGATTTGTTCCCTTGGATAAACTCGACAAGAATTGTCATTCTCCCAGAAAAGAATCATTCGAAATGAACACAATTCAACATCGAAGTCATTTTTGGTTCGATGAGATATTTGAGTTAGAAATCTGTGATTCAAATTTGATTTGAATGAGAAATCGAGTTGTATTGACCATTCTTGTTCAGATGAATTCCAAGAGATAAGAAAGATCTCCACATCAAATCACTCGATGTCCTTCTACTAAAATGAAGTAACTGTGTCTTCATGTCGCACCGAAGGGGAGAGTCTATGGGGCTCCCTCAGGAAAAAATTGCCTGGAGGGGGGTACGAGTAAACCATTTCGCACAAGCGAAAAATGTTTTTTCGCCATATGGTAGGGCCCCTCAGAAAAGTTTGGACTACGTGCCCGCTTGATGTCTTTGATCTCATCAGATCCCAACAACCAATTCAAACGGGAATCGTTGAGAAAAACAATCTGTCAGTTGACGAATGTCACATATCTGAGAAGAACTCGA